AGCCTCCCAGAAAAAAAAAAAAAAAGGAAAACAGCACTCGATAACAATGTCCTTCTTATAAAAAGTTGTCTTTGGGTTTTGCGATGAAATATCAAAAAAAGATCTCTTTGAAAGTGAGGAAGACTTTTTTTTTTCACAAATTATTCTCAATTGCTAAATACACGTTAACTTCAAATACCAAAAATGTAAAATACCCTAAAAATTTTACTCAACTCCTAGAAAATGGAAAATCTGCTTTTTTTTTCACATTGTATTCTTTTAAAAAAATAAATATTCTGTGGAAGTTGATGCAAACTGATGCTGCCCACAAAAAAAAAACGTTCAAAGTGTATTTGGTGTCTCGAGAAATAAAGAACCCCCCCCCCAAAGTAGCACAACTTATTTTGAATAATATCATAGTCACTTGCTTTTTTTTTTTGTCATCAAAGTGGGGGGGAAAAAATTGCCTCAATTTGGAAATATGCTATATCTGGAAAAGATTTTATTTGAAGGCCAGTATCACCCAACAGTATGTTGCTTGTACATTGTAGGAATATATCAAGAGTTAATCGTCGCTGTCGCTGAAGTGACCAAAATAGTGAAGCATCTCATCTCAATCTGGCTGAAAAATGAAGAAAGGGACCTCTTGCACTTGTGGACCCTACCAAACCGTTAAGGTCAGAATTTTCATGTCACCCTGAACTTTGAACTTCCCCTACCAATAGCTGCCGATCGTGATGCAATCATGATGTCATCAGTGAGCAGATCAAAAACCAATGACACCGCGGAGGTCGTCCTAATGGCGTCCATGGAGAATAAATCAGCTGTCAGCTTTTTTTGATCAAACGTTTGATTAAAGACGTTGGTCACCAGGGCAGCGGGGGGGCTTGAAGGACGACACGCCACCCTGCTTGTAAAATGCTGATGACGGCGCTGAGATGGTGATGAGCCAGAAACCAGCGTGTGTTTTATATACAGAGAACTCTCACTGTTGTCATCAGTGACCGACCCCTGAAAAAAGAAATCATGAATAATGGATAGGGCCTACCGCTAATAGTTTTCTAGATTTCTTTTATTCCTTTAGAGCACGGGTGTCAAACTCGAGGCCCCGGGGGCCAGATGTGGCCCGCCACATCATTTTACGTGGCCCGCGAAAGAAAATCAAAACATGTCAATCAAAAAGAAACATCACGCAAAATCGAAGGATGTAAGTCAAAACACACTATTAGAAAGAAATAAGACGCGTGAAAAAAAAGATGATAACTATTTATGACTCATCACCAGCACCTTGACGGAAAAAATGTTTTCTTTGATAATAACAGTGGGAAATTCTCATTCAAGAGTTTTTTTTCAATTTTTGTCTTTTCTAAATCATTAGGTGATTTTGGTATCCCGATCCAGAAATCTTGTTTTTTTGGGGGGGTTTCCCCCAAATTCATAAAATGGGACCTGAAAGCATTTTCATGTATATTTTATTCAGTCATGAAAATGTTAATATTATATCATGTTATTTCATTTGTTTTCATTGCATATAATATCTTTGGCGTGTACCTTTTCTTGCTGTCGGGCGAGCTGCCGCGGCGGCGGCGGTCATCTTTCGATGGATGTATGGCAGCTTTTGTCACCTTGATTTCACCTTGAGCCTTTAAAAGTAACCATACATCACTTTAACTTGGTTAGAATTATCTGCGAAAAGCAATGTGTCAGCGGAGTAATTCATAATTGGTGTCACACTGACACCAATTAGTGGCACTTAAATTGAGAGTCACTCCAACATACGCTATTGCCTCCTGAAATTGGCATGCACGTACCCGGGGCATGTGGAGCAGCAGGTGCCCCGTGGTCTGCGACCGCTGTGCCGTCGAGCTGTCGGGCTTGACCTCAGCCGGCAGAACCAGCTGAAATATCTGCGCATTTATTATTTGAGCGTTCATAACAAGCAGTTTCATCATGACTGGACATTTTTTATGACACACATTCTACAAGTTCTCGGAGGGAGCCGACCAGTAGCTAGCGCACTGTAAGGTTCAAGGAAACCGCGTTCAACTTGTCCCCCCCTCCAATGTGGATTTGCCGGTCGGCGTGAAAAGGCGGCCATGAGTGAGGCGAGCATCATTTAAGATTACTTCGATCAAGCCGGAAGGTTGCCAGGGGGGGCCGAGGCGGACTGAAAAACTCCCACCGTGTCACACCACCGGGGGGCTGGATGCGGTTGACCTCCTGCGGGACCCCCTGCGTCAATGTGGTCCAGTCTGCTAGCTGTGCAAAAATGAACTCTGCTGCTGACTCAGCATTTGCATCGGCGCCAGATCCTAATCTGCAGCATCACGCTTTTTTACTGTAAATCCCCCCCCCCCGCGTGTGCAACAACAGGAATGTCATCACCATGATGACGGCGATGCTCCTGTGGTAACTGTCACCATGACGATGATGATGCAATTTGTCTAACTTCATCTCCATGATGATAGCGATGCTGCTGCGGTCATTATCCCCATGGCAACGGTGATGCAATGGAGGTAACTACCTCCATTTACCCTATTGTCATGAAGATGCTGATCAGTAGGTCAACACGTACTTTTCCTTTGATGGCAACTTTGACGTACGTTGGCTGCACGTCCACATCCATCAGGGAAGTGTCCATGTGTCTGTGAGGGGTGTTGGGGATCACAGAGAAGACATTTTCACTTTTTCAAGCTTGTAATTATTTGTCACCTCTGAGAGACAATTACAGTAACTGCTTTTTAGTTTCTAAATATGTGTGTGTGCGCACGCAGGCGCATGTACCTGTACACTGCCAGGTCCAAAACGATCCTGCTATTGTTGTCGTCTTCCATCAGAGAGAAGTCCAGTCTGTAAAGTCAGAGAAGTTCATCATTCAACATCAGAGATAACATGATACTCTTTGTGTGTGTGTGTGTGTGTGTGTGTGTGTGTGTGTGTGTGTGTGCGTGCGTGCGTGCGTGCGTGCGTGCGTGTGCGTGCGCATGTGTGTGTATTAATGTGTAGACATGATAAGTACCTGCATGCAGGATGAGCAGTGAGAAGCATTTTGAGTAGTGTTGCTTGTACATTGTAGGAATATATCAAGAGTTAATCGTCGCTGTCGCTGAAGTGACCAAAATAGTGAAGCATCTCATCTCAATCTGGCTGAAAAATGAAGAAAGGGACCTCTTGCACTTGTGGACCCTACCAAACCGTTAAGGTCAGAATTTTCATGTCACCCTGAACTTTGAACTTCCCCTACCAATAGCTGCCGATCGTGATGCAATCATGATGTCATCAGTGAGCAGATCAAAAACCAATGACACCGCGGAGGTCGTCCTAATGGCGTCCATGGAGAATAAATCAGCTGTCAGCTTTTTTTGATCAAACGTTTGATTAAAGACGTTGGTCACCAGGGCAGCGGGGGGGCTTGAAGGACGACACGCCACCCTGCTTGTAAAATGCTGATGACGGCGCTGAGATGGTGATGAGCCAGAAACCAGCGTGTGTTTTATATACAGAGAACTCTCACTGTTGTCATCAGTGACCGACCCCTGAAAAAAGAAATCATGAATAATGGATAGGGCCTACCGCTAATAGTTTTCTAGATTTCTTTTATTCCTTTAGAGCACGGGTGTCAAACTCGAGGCCCCGGGGGCCAGATGTGGCCCGCCACATCATTTTACGTGGCCCGCGAAAGAAAATCAAAACATGTCAATCAAAAAGAAACATCACGCAAAATCGAAGGATGTAAGTCAAAACACACTATTAGAAAGAAATAAGACGCGTGAAAAAAAAGATGATAACTATTTATGACTCATCACCAGCACCTTGACGGAAAAAATGTTTTCTTTGATAATAACAGTGGGAAATTCTCATTCAAGAGTTTTTTTTCAATTTTTGTCTTTTCTAAATCATTAGGTGATTTTGGTATCCCGATCCAGAAATCTTGTTTTTTTGGGGGGGTTTCCCCCAAATTCATAAAATGGGACCTGAAAGCATTTTCATGTATATTTTATTCAGTCATGAAAATGTTAATATTATATCATGTTATTTCATTTGTTTTCATTGCATATAATATCTTTGGCGTGTACCTTTTCTTGCTGTCGGGCGAGCTGCCGCGGCGGCGGCGGTCATCTTTCGATGGATGTATGGCAGCTTTTGTCACCTTGATTTCACCTTGAGCCTTTAAAAGTAACCATACATCACTTTAACTTGGTTAGAATTATCTGCGAAAAGCAATGTGTCAGCGGAGTAATTCATAATTGGTGTCACACTGACACCAATTAGTGGCACTTAAATTGAGAGTCACTCCAACATACGCTATTGCCTCCTGAAATTGGCATGCACGTACCCGGGGCATGTGGAGCAGCAGGTGCCCCGTGGTCTGCGACCGCTGTGCCGTCGAGCTGTCGGGCTTGACCTCAGCCGGCAGAACCAGCTGAAATATCTGCGCATTTATTATTTGAGCGTTCATAACAAGCAGTTTCATCATGACTGGACATTTTTTATGACACACATTCTACAAGTTCTCGGAGGGAGCCGACCAGTAGCTAGCGCACTGTAAGGTTCAAGGAAACCGCGTTCAACTTGTCACCTGATGAAATGGCCCAAACTCGCCAGGCCACCTGGCTGACCCCCACCGTAAAAACAAGCCCCCCCCCCCCCCCCCCCCCGAGGCGTCCGC